AAACCCTAAACCCCCCCCCCCCCTTCCTTTCTGGAGGCCCACCTTTGTCTCTGAGCCGCTTCCACCTTCGAGGCCGAGCAGGGCTCCTACAGTGGGCCTAGCTGCAGCAGGGGACTTGGCCTGGTAGAGCAATGCGCCAAGGCAGCCATAATGAGACTTTCTTTTAAACCACGGCAGAAGCTACTTACAAAAACCATCCCCGCAGGCTTTTTCAGTAGAACCCTGCTGGAAGCAAGCCTTTGGGCAAACTCACGGTGGACTACTTTGTCCACCCCTACATGGGTAGCTCTCTTTACTGGGGTTCCTTTCAGGGTCCTTCTCAGAGGGTGCCATATTATTTACACCACCCAGAATGATGACGCTAACCCCAGCCGCCGAAATCCCTGTACCCCAAGAACGCCCAAAATCTCACCGAGAACTATGCCAAGAAGTCCTCCACAAAACCCCAACACACTAAAAACCCAAATCCTGACGCGCATAATCACAAAAATTTTCTGATCTTAACCCCCAGACACCAAAACCCTGAACCCCATAGACCCTGAACGCAACCAAGAATCATGGTCTGGAAGTCTGTAGAGAGCCCTTCATCGAAAGGAAACCCGTACAAGGAACCCTTAACGAAACCCTTGAAGCCCTAAACCCTAGAACCCCCCTTAAGGGAACCCTCTAAGGAACCCGAACTCTTACCCTAAACCCTAAACCCTAAACCCTTACAAACCACCCCTGCTTGCAGAAGCCCCTAAACCCTAAACCCTAAACCCTAAACCCTCATCGCCTCGGCCCGCCAGGAGTAGCCCTGCTTCCGTGAGAGGAGTTTCTCCCGGCGCCGGGCCTGCAAAAACGTGGGCGGTTTAGGCTTACTTTTTCAAGGGATCCGTAGTACATAGAACCCCAAAAGCCTTCAAAAGAAGAATAGAACCCTAAACCCTAAACCCTAAAAGCCTTCAAACGAAGAATAGATGTTCTTTGACGGTGCTTTTTTGGGGGGGGCTTGGGATGAAGCGCTTGGGGCCTAAAATTTCTTAAGGCCCTCTGAAAGGATGGATAATACATAAGCGATCCATAAGAATTGCTACAATGGTTCCAAAATAGAATTTCTTAGAGCTTTCCGGGCCTGGGGCTTGGCCTCTGGGCATCGAAGTCAAAGGCTTCGGGCTTTCAGTTTAAAGCTTTGCGTTTGCGGTGTGGGACTTCCAAGAGTTTCAAAGCTTTTTGGAGGGGGCTTCAGGGCATGCAGGTGTTTTGGAGGCCTTTCGGCTTAGAAAAGGCTTCGAGCCCTTGAAGCGCCTTTTTCCGTGCTTTACGGGGCCTTCAGGGCCGATGGGACGAAGGGCTTTATGGCTTTTAGTCGTGGGGTGCCGGTCTTAAGGATGCTTGCAGTGTTGTGCGGCTCTCCGGGCTGTGAACATTGAAAGGCTTTAGGGTTTGTGAGGGTTCTTAATGCTTGCAGGCTCTGCAAGTATTTTGGCTTGAGCTTGGCGATTTGGGATTAAGGCTTTCGGCGGTGGCAGCTTTAAATCGCAGGGGTTCCGCTTTCTCGGTTGTAGACAGAGTTTACGGGGAGAAACTTCTCGGAGCGACGGTACTCTTGGCTTCAGTGGTTTAGTGGTGCATTCGACAGGATTTCACGGGTTTGCCAGGATCTTACTTGGGTTTCATAAAGGGTTTAAGATGTTAATTGTGAGCTGAAAGACCGAAGGCCTAAAAATGCACTGGGGGTGGGAAGTACACAACTTTTCACGGTCTGGTTCCCTAAACCCTAAACCCTAAACCCTAAACCTTAAACCCTAAACCCTAAACCCTAAACCTTAAACCCTAAACCCTAAACCCTAAACCCTCTGGTTCCCCTAGGACGAGGTGTTCAGGAGGGTGCTAAGGCTGAGCCATCATTGAAGCATTTAAGAGGATCGCCTTGAAGACACCTGTTCCCGGTGCCTCTCTCAAAAGCCGGTTACTAAACCCTAAACCCTAAACCCTAGGGTTTAGGGTTTAGGGTTTAGGGTTTAGGGGTTTAGGACGCTCCTAGTCCGAAGCGAAGTGGTGAACCGCGAGCCCCAGCGCCAAGACCGCCTAGCAGGGTACTAACACCTACAGAAGTTAGGTCTACAGTACTTGTAGCACCAGGATGGCACCCAAACATACACCCACCAACGTTCCTCATGAGACCTGTATAACCTACAAAAATATATAGACCCAACTTCTGGAACCTTCACAATACGTCTCAACCAGCCCCCAAGAAGCGCTTAAAGAACGCCAACACAAACCCTAAGCCCAAACCCTACCAGCCGGATCGCCTCCTCTTCTTTCTTCTGCTCCGACCTGTGCGAGACTTTGAAGCCGGAGTTTTCTTTTTTGTAAAGTGCAATGGCCTTTCTCCGGTTTAGGGTTTAGGGCTTCAGGGTTTTAGGGCTTAGGTTCAGGATTTTATTGCCGGCTTTAAAGCGGGCTTGACAGGCTCCCCAGTCGAAGACGTGCACCGCAGCCAAGGGAAAACTGCACACCTTCAACCCTCAAGATCGGCATATGGGAGTTTCCGAAAATACTGGGTACCTTATTTCGGGGTCTTTATAGTAAGGATCCTACTTTTAAGGGTACTATGTTAGGGTCCCCCATTTTCGGAAACTTCCACATCACCGATCAGGAGACTTCTAAGCCCCAAGAATTTCAAGCCCTACACCCCCAAAACCGAAGCCCCAAAAAACCGAAACCCCTAAACCCTCAAGCCTAAACCCTATATCCTAAACCCTTACACACTGAACTTAAACCCCATACTAAAACCCCCGAAACCCCTGAAACACATCGCCCTAAACCCTAAACCCCGAACCCTAAAGCCTAAAGCCCCAAACAACCTAAACCCTAAAGCCCGAAAACCTACAACCCCTAAAACCTAAACCCCGAACCCTGAAACCTAAACCCCAAATCCCTAAACCACTCCCCACCTCGCTCGGGCCATCTCCTTGCGCTGGAGATCCGCGACTGTGGGAAGCTGGGGGGAGGCTTGGGTTTTTGGGCCTTCGGGTTTAGGGTTTAGGGTTTAGGGTTTTTGGGCCTTCGGGTTAGGGTTTAGGGTTTAGGGTTTAGGGTTTAGGGGTCAGGGGTTTAGGGGTTTAGGGTTCTGGATTTAAGGGTTAGGGGTCAAGGGTTCTGGATTTCGGGGTTAGGGGTTAGGGGTTTAGGGTTTAGGGGTTTGGGGTTAGGGGTTTAGGGTTTAGGGGTTTGGGGGTTTAGGGTGTAGGGTGTAGAGTTTAGGGTTTAGGGCTTTCGGGTTTAAGGCCATGTCATGTTGAATAACCCCTTGGGTTCATATCGAAATGAAAAATGAACCCTGGTTCCTAAGTGACACCCAGCAGAACACCTCGCCGCTGCTCTTCTCGAAGTCGCTCCGACTCCTCATTCCTGACGAGCTCCGCTTCGGCTTCAGCGCAATACCCGACACTTGAGGAATCGTCCTTACATTACGCACGGCTGCAGGGCTTCTCAATATGCATCGAAGAGATGTTCAGCATGAACGGGCGTGGTAGGTTCGCCCGCCAAACTCAAAGCTCCGAACTGAACCGCCTAAAGCGTCACAGAGGTGCCTCTCAATCTCTTGTCGCTTCTGCTCGATGAACTCCTGCTGTTTTCGCTGCTCCTCTGCCTGGCCAGAATGAAGAAGACTAGCTTTTACGAACAGCAATACTAGCAGTACATAGCGTCACGATTTCAGATGTTACCAACAAGAGTCAGGATCAGACAACTTGACATACTACCTATCGTCGTCACCATCCGGGCCATGAGCATCCTTTTCATTGACATAATCACCACCAACAACAACATGGTTAGCATTAGCATCATCCATATGCACATCGAGCTCATCTTCACGATTACAACTTCACAGCCTTCATAGCTTTATAACCATCAGCAGCATCATAAATATCACCACCATCGTGATGTTCTCACGGACATGGTCTCCATGGTCACAAGCACTTTCTCTCGAGGCTTCGACGCCAGCAGACTGCCGACGCCTGCTTCTCGGCATCCTGCTGGGCAAGCAAGGCCTCACGACCCAAGGGAGCGGCAACAGGGCGTCAACAGGTGACGGTTTAGGGTTTAGGGTTGGGTTTGGACTGGCTTGCGGTCCCAGAAGTCTGAAGCATCTGTACTCAAGGTTCCTGCTGCAAGTATCCATGCGAAGACCACCGCTACCCTCTCACAACTCGTACACCTTATGCCGCTGTATGCATCTATGGTCCTACGGTCCTACAAGTCAAGACCAAGAAGTCCCTCGGGACCTTGCCTGCAGAGGGTGGATGCTCCAGACAATGGTAACAGGTAACACAGAAGCCTAAACAGTTCGACCCGGGTCTGTTCGAACCAGGGTTGCGACACAGCACAAAAGGCACCCGAGAACAGCGTTACTTTGTATTCAGGCCCCCTTTTTACCATCAACTTGCCGCCAAACCTAGCAGAACAAATTTTGCAGTCTCCAGGAATTTAATCCCCTGCCACAGCATTCCCAAAGACTCCTGTAAGATTCCTCTAAGGGGTGCTTCAAGGACTCATTCACACATGCTCCTGCAGGCATCCCATGCGGGTTCTAGGATTTAGGGTTTTCAGTGTTCAGGGCTCAAAGTTTCGCAAGCGAAACCAATAATCTGCCCTTCTGTCGCCTTCGCTTGGAGTTTCTCTCGCTTCTTCTCCTCGATGGCATTGCGTCGCTCTTCCTCCTGCCTCAGCCCATCTTATGCGGAAGTCTGCCATTTCAAAACCCGGTCTAAGGACCTTGGAATAAGGACCGCACCATCTAGGATCTGTGTTTGGGTTCGCTGAAACTCCCTAATCAAGTTGCTTCCTGACAGGTCATCGAATCCAACAAAACGATGCCTCAACAAAAGCTCCTTCAACACTCTAGTCGGATACCTGTGGGCTTGATCTGCGAACAAAAATCGAACCCCAGAAAACCCAAATCGCTCAGCCTTCAACTCAAAGTGGCAGAGCCTACCGCATAGAATGTATAGACGGGTGATTTACACACGTGCTATGCCTTTCTCAGGCTCCTAGCTGCCTTGTGCACAGCTCTCTCAACTATGGAGTTCTTATGAAAATTTACCATCAAGGAGTGTTCATATAGGGGCCTGAATAAGGAGAATCGGGTTTTGGGGCCCGTGAAACTCAAAGTATAATAAGGAACCCCCAAAGTAATAGTGGTAATTATTTAGGCCCCTACATTAGACTGAACCCTAAACCCTAAAGGTCTGTCCCTG